ATGGTAGGGTCCTGGGTAGTGTTGCCAAACAGAGACCTAGGGGTGCAGGTGCATAGTTCCTTGAAATTGGAGTTGCAGGGAGATAGTGTGGTGAAGAAGTCTTTTGACTGCTTGCCTTCATTGGATATAACAGTATAGTATAGTAGTTGGGATGTGTTATTGTGGCTGGACAGGACATTGGTGAGGCCACTTTTGGAATACTGCGTACAATTCTGGTCACCCCAATTCTGGTTGTTAAACTTGAAAGGGTTCAGAAAAGATTTACCCAAGGATGTTGCTGAGGTTGGAAAGTTTGAGTCATAGGGAGAGGCTGAATAGGCTGGACGTCTTTTCCCTGCAGCGTCAGAGGCTGGGGGAGGGGGGGTGACCTTATAGAGGTTTATAAAATGATGAGAAACATGGATAGGGTGAATAGCCAATGTCTTTGTTCTAGGTGGGTGAGTGCAAAACTAAAGAGCATAGGTTTAAGGTGAGAGGGGAAAGATTTAAAAAAGGACACGAGGGGTAACCTTTTCTTGCAGAGGGTGGTGCATGTATGGAATGTGCTGAGAGTAAGTGATGGAGGTGGGTACAATTACAACATTTAAAAAGCATGTGGATGGGTACATGAATAGGGAGGATATGGGCTAAATGCTGGCATGTGGGACTAGGTCAGAATGGGATGGCTGCCCAGCATGGATGAATTAGACTGGAAGGTCTGTTTCTGTGCTATATAACCCTATGACTCTATGACTGAGATAAGGAACCATTTCTTCACTCAAATGATAGTGAACCTGTGGAATTCTCTACTATAGACAGTTGTGTAGGCCAAGTCACTGAATTTATTAATGAAAGAGATTAATAAATTTGTACATTTTAAAGGCATCAGGGAGTGGGGGGGAAAAAGCGGGAATATGGCACTGAGATCGAGGATCAGCAATGATTATATTTGAAATAATTCCACAGAGGCTGGTATCCCATCACCAGATCACCCTTTATTTACACGTGGAGAATCTTTGACACTGATTCAGCTCCCTCAGAGCCAGATCTCAGACTGAACAGAACCTCCGACACTTCTGTTTATATCTGTCAGCCAGGGCTCCCTGATTGGACCAAATTAACAGCCCCAATCAGGGAACTCATCTTCTCTGAGGTCCATCTAGCTGCCCTCATTACAATCACAGTATTGAATGGTGGAACTGACTTGAAGGACTGAATGGCCTTCTCCCGTACCTAGTTTCCATGTTTAAATAGCAACACAACTGTTTTATTTACAAATTCCCCTGAGCAACATCTGTGGCTCTGATTAATACCTGCCCTTTAAATGGTACTATGGTCCAGCAACATCTCTGGACTACTGTTATGAAAAAAAAAATTAAAAGAATAAGGTAACTACAGAGCCAAAATACTTCCATATTCAAACAAATAACCAGATAATTTCACATTAAAATAACCCATACTGTGAATGGAGATTCCTTCCAGCAAATTCAGCCTATTACTATGCATATATAATTAAACACATGCTACAACAAATTCTAGCAAGTACATACATTCTAAAAGAAAAACTATTCCAGCTCTACAAGCACCCATAAAAACATGCATTTGGTATTAGTTACTTAAAAGTACACATTAAATGAGGTTTACAAGCTTTGTGTTTAGATTTAAACAAGGTGAATAAAGAACATAAAGAAAAGGCTTTTTTTAAAATTTCATAAATAGACTTCAATAAAAAAAATAGATAAGGCAGAATTGGAAAGGAAAGAAAAAAGGTGGAGGCAAGAGAAAGAGGGGAGAGAACAGGGGAAATTAGGGAAATAAAGAGACGCAAGCAGAAATGAGTGATTGAGAAAACACCAAGAAACAAAATGGACAGGCAGCACATTAAATTGGGACAAATATTTGTCACACAACTAGTTGTTTTGCAACTGGAACCTCATGAGGGTGTTAGCTGGGTATTGCTAATGAGCCGAGATATGTATAAGTTATTGTGAGCACTGCAGCCATTTCAGGGACATCAGAACCAGCAGAGTGTGCAGGAGTTTCAAGCAGACAGCGAGGACAACTTTAAGAAAAATAACTTCAAAGATGACAACTACAGCTGCAATTTTTAAAAGGCATGTAGTACAGAAACAAGTCCACCTTTGAACAGTAGCTACATTAAAGAAGCTGTTGAGTTTTTAAAAATACTGCAGCAGAAGGTGATTGTCTGGGTGCTGATGGAGAAGGACATCATAGCATCATACGTGATGCAAGGGCTACAATAGACAAGATATTTGTTTCTATGATAACAAGGTGTAAAGCTGGATGAACACAGCAGGCCAAACAACATCAGAGGAGCAGGAAAGCTAAGGTTTCGGGCCAAGACCCTTCTTCAGAAATGGGGGAGGGGAAAGGGGTTCTGAAATAAATAGGGAGGGGGAGGCGGATAGAAGATGGATAGAGGAGAAGATAGGTGGAGAGGAAACAGACAGGTCAAAGAGGCGGGGATGGAGCCAGTAAAGGTGAGTGTAGGTGGGGAGTTAGGGAGGGGATAGGTCAGTCCAGGGAGAACGGACAGGTCAAGGGGGCGGGATGAGGCTAGTAGGTAGGAGATGGGGGTGCGGCTTGAGGTGGGAGGAGGGGATAGGTGGGAGGAAGGACAGATTAGGGAGGCAGGGACAAGCTGGGCAGGTTTTGGGATGCGATAGCGGGAGGGGAGTTTTTGAAGCTTGTGAAGTCCACATTGAGACCATTGGGCTGCAGGGTTCCCAAGCGAAATATGAGGTGCTGTTCCTGCAACCTTCGGGTAGCATCGTTGTGGCACTGCAGGAGGCTCAGGATGAACATGTCGTCTGAGGAATGGGAGGGGGGAGTTGAAATGGTTCACAACTGGGAGGTGCAGTTGTTTAGTGCGAACCGAGCGTAGGTGTTCTGCAAAGCAGTCCCCAAGCCTCCGCTTGGTTTCCCCGATGTAGAGGAGGCCACAACGGGAACAGCGGATACAGTATACCACATTAGCAGATGTGCAGGTGAACATCTGCTTGATATGGAAAGTCTTCCTGGGGCTTGGGATGGGGGTGAGGGGGGAGGTGTAGGGGCAGGTGTAGCACTTCCTGCGGTGGCAGGGAAAAGTGCCGGGGGTGGTGGGGCTGGAGCGGAGTGTGGAGCGGACAAGGGAGTCATGGAAAGAGTGGTCCCTCCGGAAAGCAGATAAGGGTGGGGAGGGAAAAATGTCTTTGGTGGTCGGCTCAGATTGCAGATGGCGGAAGTGTCGGAGGATGATGCGTTGGATCCGGAGGTTGGTGGGGTGGTACGTGAGGACGAGGGGTATTCTGTTTTGGTTGTTATTGCAGGGAGGGGGTGTGAGGGATGAGTTGTGGGAAATGCGGGAGACACGGTCGAGGGCGTTCTCAACCACTGAGGGGGGGATGTTGCGGTCCTTGAAAAACAAGGACATCTGAGATGTTCGGGAGTGGATTGCCTCATCCTGGGAGCAGATGCGGTGGAGGTGAAGGAATGGGGAATAGGGGATGGCATTTTTGCAGGAAGGTGGGTGGGGGGAGGTGTATTCTAGGTAGCTGTGGGAGTCGGTGGGCTTGAAATGGATATCGGTTTCCAGGTGGTTGCCAGAGGTGGAAACAGAGTGGTCCAGGAAGGAGAGAGAGGTATCAGAGATGGTCCAGATGAACTTAAGGTTGGGGTGGAAGGTGTTGGTGAAGTGGATGAACGGTTCGAGCTCCTCGTGGGAGCACGAGGTGGCGCCGATACAGTCATCAATGTAACAGAGGAAGAGGTGGGGTTTAGGGCCAGTGTAGCTACAGAAGAGGGATTGTTCCACGTAACCTACAAAGAGGCAGGCATAGCTTTGGCCCATGCGGGTACCCATGGCCACCCCCTTTGTCTGTGGGAAGTGGGAGGAATTGAAAGAGAAGTTGTTGAGGGTGAGGACGAGTTCGGCTAAGCGGATGAGGGTGTCTGTGGAGGGGGACTGGTCGGGCCTGCGGGACAGGAAGAAGCGGAGGGCCTTTAGGCCATCTGCATGGAGAATGCAGGTGTATAGGGACTGGACGTCCATGGTAAAGATGAGGTGTTGGGGACCAGGGAATTGGAAGTTTTGGAGGAGGTGGAGGGCATGGGTGGTGTCATGGACGTAGGTAGGGAGTTCCTGGACCAAGGGGGAGAAAATGGAGTTGAGATAGGTGGAGATAAGTTCGGTGGGGCAGGAGCAGGTGGAGACAATGGGTCAACCAGGGCAGTCAGGTTTATGGATTTTGGGAAGGAGATAGAAACAGGTGGTGCAGCGTTGGGGAACGATGAGGTTGGAGGCTGTGGGTGGGAGGTCACCTGAGTTGATGAGATTGTGGATGGTTTGGGAGATGATGGTTTGGTGGTCAGGGGTGGGGTCATGATCAAGGGGGCGGTAGGAGGTGGTGTCGGAGAGTTGGCGCCTGGCCTCGGCGATGTAGAGGTCAGTGCGCCATACTACAACTGCACCTCCCTTGTCCGCGGGTTTTATGGTGAGGTTGGGATTGGAGCGGAAGGAGCGGAGGGCTGCACGTTCTGCGGGGGAGAGGTTGGAGTGGGTGAGAGGGGTGGAGAGGTTGAGGCAATTGATGTCACGACGGCAGTTGGAGATGAAGAGGTCGAGGGAGGGTAGGAGGCCTTGGGGTGGTGTCCAGGAGGAGGGGGTGTGTTGGAGGCGGAAGAAGGGGTCAGTAGGGGGAGCGTTAGGCTCATGTTGGGTTAGGATTTTGTCTGTTCTTAAGTCTAACATTTTTAATCAGATGTTATATCTGCACATAAAAAGCATGACTCAAATTTGTAATAATGTGAGGTATTGATTTTAAGATTGGAAAAATGCACCGAATATGAGCTTAAGTATAGATAAGTGATCATCAGATGAAAGCAGGAAAACAAGATGGTAAAAACTATTCCAAAGTAGAGCTGTCTATCAACACAAGCAAAAGGGACTGATTAGAATCTTCCTTTCAAATTCCTAGGTGGAGACTTTTTTGATAACATAGATGAAATTTCAACTCAAATGAGAAAAGAAATAAAGTTTAATGCAACTTAACATATTATCAGGGAGGAAAGAAATTTAGTTATAACAATTTTTATTGATATAGCACCCCTAATGCAATAAAACATCCCGAGAAACTTCGCAGGAGCATCATGTAAACATCATATCGCGATATATAAGGTGATGGTATGTTACATGACCAAAAGCCAAAGTACAGGGTTTTGAGGAGTGTTTTAAGAGAGGAAAGCAAGGTAGAGCCATGCAGATATGTAAGGAGGGTGTTGCAGAGTTTGGGGTCTAGGCACTAAAGGCATAGCCATTAATGGAGGAGTGATTAAAATTAAGGATGTACAGGAGTCCTGAATTAGATGAGCACAGATATTTTGGATGGTTATGGGACTGGAGAAAGATTATGGAATAAGGCAAAGCTGAGGCTATGAAGTGATTTGAAATCAAGGAAGAGAATTTTAAAATGAACACTGCTTGACCATGCTCCAATGTAGGTCAACGAGCACAGGAATAAAGAACATAAGAGCATAGAAACAGCAATAAACCATTCAATAAACTCATGGTTAATCTGAATGTGGGCTCAAATCCACTCTCCTGTCAGTCCCTGATTACCCTTGACCACCTTGTCAAATAAAAATCTGTCTAACTCAGCCTTGAATATATTCAATGACCCAGATTCCACTGCTCATTGGGGAAGAGAATTCTAAAACATAACCCTCTGGGAGAAGAAATTCTCCTCAACTCCATTTATTTTTAAATTCACTCATGGGATGTAGTCTTCACTGGCTGAGCCGGAATTCATTGCCCAGCCCTAGTTACCCTCAAGAGGGTGATGGTGAACTGCCTTCTTGAACTGCTGCAGTTCATTCGGTACACCCACCATACCATTAAGGAGAGAATTCCAGGACCTTAAATGGGAGACCCCTTCCTTTTAAACTGTGTCCTCTCATTCTAGATTAACACATGATGAAGCATTCTCTTGGCATCTACCCTGTCTAGTGCCCTCAGATTCTTATGTACTTCAATAAGATCACACCTCATTCTCCTAAACTCCAATGAGAATGGTCATGCCTCCTTAACCTTTCCTATAAGACTCATCCCTTGAATCAGCCTAGAGAACCTTCTTTAAACTGCTTCCAGTGCAAGCGTGTCTCTTGTTAAGTGATCAAAACTGTGCACCATACTCCACATCTGGTCTCAGCAATAATATAGTTGTAGTAAGATATCTCTATTTTTATATTTCACCCCTCTTTGAAATTAAGGCTTACTTTCTTTATGTCTTCCTAATAACCTGTTGTACTTGCATCTAACTTTTTTGTGATTCATGCATGTGGATATCCAGATCCCTTGGTATGGCAGCATTCCATAATATCTCTGTTCAAATATTCTGCTTTTTTCTTCTTCCTACCAAAGTGGACAACTGCACAGTTCTTCCACACTATACTTCCATATGCCAAACTGTTGCCCAGACATTTAACGTTCCCATATTCCTTTCCAATATCTCTGTGTTCTCCTCATAGCTTATTTTTGTACTTTTCTTTGCATTGTTCACAATACAGTCAGTCCCTTCCTCCAGGTCATAATAAATTGTACATAGTTGACCCATGATACTGCACAAATTAGACTATGCCATCCTCAAAGTGACATATTTATCCCAGCTTTCTAGTGGGGGTGTTCATGGAGCCGTCAAGAGCAGGAAACATGAAGGTTGAGAAATGTTGATTCCCACATGATTGGTAGAGAAGCAGTGATAAAATCAGCAGCAGATCGAGCAATATCCAGGAGCAAGTTCATACTTGTAAGACAACTTTACCGTGAATACTTAGCAACATTAAATAGTTTTCAGTAAGATCTGGTCATCAAGATAAAGTCAGTGGCATCCAGTTCACAATCATTTAAAGGTGGCACGCATCCATCAGCTTTATACAGTGTGTGTAAGATCAATGTTTTTCCTTGTTTAAATCTACACTTCAAGAGAGGGAAGCAGGAGAATGGACTCTTATGTTAAGGCCTGCAACAAGGGTGAGTCAGTGATGAGGTGTATACTGGAGTGGGGTCAGTGACATGGAAAATTAGAGGAAAGATCTACGGGAGAACAGAAGGGAGTTCAGAGGGAAGCATGGAAGAGTGAAGTGGGAAGGGCCTGACATCCTGGGTGTGGTGCGGAGGAAGGGTGGTGGACAGTCAATCTCTGCAAGAAAGCATGGGACCTAAAGGGCAGTATCAGTACTGTCCAAACCTGTGCCACTCTCCTGGTGTTAGCTGGCACAGGGGTTTAGGTTCGCCAAGAGCATTTCAATCACTCCCACTTTCTCTGAGATTGTCCTTTTCAATGCAGAGGAAGGCAGCTGAGATTGCAAGGTTAGCTGTTCTGTGGTGTAGTAAGCATCATACTGGACACTCATATGAACATTCAATAATGAGTGAACTTAAGAACACATCATTGTTTATTCCACAATAAAGGAAATATCCTTAATCTCCCTGTAACCATCAATGCATGCCAACTATGAGACACGTAGCTCTCTAGGCTAATCTAAACAAATAATGATGATGCACACATGAAGAAAATGAAACTAAAGTGAAATATTTATAAGTGAATTCTAATATTGAAAAGTCCCCTTGCCACCTTTGTATTCTGAAGTCTTCAGTTAATCGCAATTAAGTTGCATGGGTAAGTTGTGGCTGTGATGCACAGCTTCCTTGTTTGACCAGAGTCCCTCCAACAGGCTGCCTCTCGTTACAGTGTTGCCAGTTCACCAATGAAAACCTTCCCCAGTTGCTAAGTTGAATATGTTCTGCATGCACGTGACTGACACTTAAACATTTAATTATAATCATGTGGGAAAAAGACAATAGATAGAAAGAAGTGGTGCACAGTTCTGATTATGACGTCAGAAATGGCTCATTGTTAACATTGCTTCCTGTCAGTTACTAATCCTTTTCAGAGAACATGATAGGGTTAGGGGATTTAAAACAAATTAAGACACAGGCAGCAAACATTTGTATGTTTACAGAGGGCAGAATATTGGAGATCAACTAGGAGTACATTGAATAAGCAAGTCTAAAGATAACCAAGGCATGACTGAGGATTTCAGTAGATGAGCTGAGGCAGGGGCAAATTGAAGTAAAATTAAGAGATGGAAATAGACCATCTTAATGATGGTGTGAATATGAAGTCAAATGTGAGCTAAAATTGTGGGTAGTCTGGTTTGTTCTCAGATTGTTGCCATGGACAGGAATGAAATCAGTAACTAGTGAGTGGAGTTTGGAGCAGGAACCAAAAACAACTGCTTCAGGCTTCCTAATATTTATTTGGGAGGAAATCTCTGCTAATCCAGTAATAGGTCTTAGGCAAGCAGTCTAGAAATTTAGTCACTGTGGAGGAGCTGAGAGATGCTAGTGAGGTAAAGCTGGATATCATCAGCATACATGTGAAAACTAACAGTGTGCTTTTGGATGATGTTGTGAAGGGCAGCACAGAGATTAGGAGTGTAGAAATTTATAATGTTGAAAAAGTTATATCAGCCACAAAACACAAGAAATTTCTCTTTATCATCCACCTTGTCCAATCTCACTTTACTGCTTGTTCCTCATATCCTTTAATTTTCCAGATATGCAGATGAGTCTTGACAGTGTAGGGTTTTTACGAGTTTTGAGGAGTTAATGGAATGACTTGATTGATGTCTTCCACGATTATGGTAAGTTATGGCAGGGTAAATAGTATCAATTGTTTCAATTGGTCTGTGAGATGGTAATGCAAACACAAGACAAATAGCAAGATAATTAAAGAAACTTAATGGCAGAGTAATTAAAATGTGGACTTTATACTGTTCACAAACAATTACTGAAGCTAAGTTAGCTTTGAATTTTATAGAAGAAAAGTCACATCTTCTTGAGAAAGAGACCGTTAAAAGAGAATAAGGAGAGTAGAAACAGAGTGGGTGACTTATTTGTAGAACTCTCCTCACTCCCAAGCATCCCTTTGGTGAGTAAAATAGCCTTTCTTTGGTCATTAACATTCTAAGAACAGCCACATATAATTTTACAAGAAGTACCAAACAAAAGAAAACAAAAATGGAATGTATTTATCTAAAAGACTGTTGGGTGAAATAGTTGGTTGTTCATCTGAAGTCTGGGTTTCTTAATCCATTGTTGATAACTCTGATCGAAAGCAGCAGATATGAGATATATCAGCCAATGTGCTGGAAACCTCGTAAGAATCAATCTAACATCCATCATGTTGGAATTAGAGCTCTCATCTGCCTGGGTCCTGCCAAGAGGTTAAAATCAAAATTCAATATTTGAAAATAGAAATGATCTCACTTTAACAAAGATGATGCTTGGACATCTTAACCATAGACAAAATAATTCTTTGCTGTGATTCCATATAAGAAAGGTATTATTTACACACAGTAACTGCTAGAAATTGGTCTATTCTTAAGATTGCACAAACACAAATAATAGAAGAGATTGCTACAAGTTACAAAGGCCACTTGCATTAGGATGCTTTTACTATGGTTTTGTTTTAAAGCTGGGATAATTAATTAATTAAGAACTGAATGATATTAGAAGATACAAAGACCATTTCAAATCAACAACAAATATGACCATCAAGGACAAATTTTGTTTCACTGAACTTTATAAACAAAAGCATATTGGCCAAAACTTAAGCTTAATTCACTTATGCCAAAAATTCTATGACTTTTTAAACCCTGTCAAAGTCCATGGCTGATCAATGCTCAAACATATATAATAACTTATTGTATGTAGCATTAGAAAAAACAAACAAGGTGTGCAAAATTTGGGGGAGAGATAGAAAGGTAGATAGTAAGAAATAGGTGGGATCAGAATAAAAGGTGATGCAATAGGTTTAATTGGGTTTACTGTACACACACGAACAGTTACGGTACATACATCTGAACGCTCCTAACATGGCAAATAAGGTTGGTGAGCTGCAATAATTAATAGATATTTGGGAATATGCTGCTGTGACGATAACAGAGACCTGGTTCAAAAAAAAGGCAGGATTAAGTACTTAATATTTCTGAATACTGGGCAAAGAACAAAATCTACTCAGTAAGAGTTCAGAAAAGATAAAGGTATTAACACTTCAGGGGGTAGTCTATTGCCAACTTATGAAAAAATATAAATGAACAAATATATGTGATGCTATTACACACTTGCAAATAAATAGAGTATTGCTGAAAACAAAGGTGTTCTACCTTTGGCTTACCCTGAAGAATGCCAAATTTCAAATGATCACAACAATTTGTACTACATGAGAGAAGGATTTGTTGGCAAGTCGACTCTAGTTGGCTGAGACATTGCCATGGAGAAAGCAATGGAGAACCACAGACTTGCCATGCTTCTGGAATATTCAAAAAAGCTGCAAGGTTTGGACATATTCCTATTATAAAATATGGTCCCTGTGTATGAACCTTCCAGCAAATTTAAACAAGCCATCTTAGAAGTTGACGATTACTTTGAGTAGGGTGATAGTGAGCTATCCTTGCACTCAACATTTCAACAAGTGCTGGCCAATCACATCAATTAGCAGATGTTTTGCTTTGGGCATGGCAAGCAGGGGCTGGTTGAATACAGTCTACGGTTGGATGGAATTCCATCGTTCTTAAAAACTATGCCCCAATTTTGAGTGTTAAAGTCCTGTGAAAGGACTTAACTCCAGAACCGTAATGATTCAGAGGCGAGAGTGCTATCAATAACATCACAACTAAAACTTGGCAGCAGAAGTTTGAGAGTAGCTTTGATAGAGCTGTTCAAAACTGTGAAGGGTCTCGAGAGAATAGGTAAAGGAAATAGCTCCCATTGATAGAAAGGTCAAGAACCAGAGGACACTGACTTAAGAAAAATAGAGGAAATGTAACTTGAAGACAAACTTTTTAAACAGTGGGGAGTTAAAATCTGGAAGGCACTGCTCGAGAGTGTGCAGAAGGCAGACTCAGTTGTGGCTATCAAAAAGAAACTGGAAAGTTATCTCAAAGGAAAAGAATCATAACTGCAGAGCAAGATCAGTGGAGTGAGACTGGCTGATTTGCTCTTACAGACAGCTGGCACATTTGTGAAGCGCTAAACAGCCTCCAACTGTGCTGTGAAATCAAACAGTGACACCCTTTATAGGATGTCTGGTGTGGAATCAACAACTTTAGGACAGGTGGAGTTAAATCAGCAAGAAATGAAAACTGCTTTGGACTCTGGAATTGATTGGTGGATTAAATATTTAATCAATTTGAAGTGATAAGTGATTTACTCTGCTTCCTCCAACTAACAGAGTCCAGTCGTGACCTATTAATTTTTGAAAACAAATATCTTTCAAGCAATCTTGCTCCATGTCTCCCCGAGTGTTTTCTAAGTTTAGAATTAGAGTTTGAAAACTGTAATTTAGAAAGAAGCCTTGACAGGATATGTGACCTTGAGGATCTGTCCTGCATTGTTTCTAATTTTCATCATACTATTCTTCACTCCTGAAAAAAAAAATTCCAATTAAAAGCTGTTTTGAAGTTAGAAAGAACAAACATAGGCCCAGATCCTCCGATCTCCAGATAGTTGCAAACCAGACATTCCCCAAAGATTCATGTCAGGACCCCTTGGAAGTCCTGATGGGCTGATTCCACGGGAATTGCCCGGGAAGTTTAAACTCTGAGTTAGAGTTGGAGACTTGGGAGAGATCTGACTTACTTACCCAGCAAATGTGAAGCAGATTAAAACCATGTCTACCTCCTGGATGACTGACTGATTGCGCTTCCTTTCAGTCCACACACCCGACTCCTCCTTCTCTCATCCCAAACCCTCTGCTATTAGCTGATCCTCCAACCTTTTGACCACTTTTTGACCCTCCAAACCCTTGACTCCCACCTGACCCAACTTCACCATCGACCACTACCCTGGCACCCTACCAGCTTACCTCATTCATATTCATTAACACACTGAAATAGCTCAATGTGTTCATGAATGAAGACATGCCAGAGATGGTAGGTAGTGCTGTAAAAGGAGCCTTGGCTTCACTTTCTCCAACAAACCTGTACTATGAAGAGGACTCCAATATCAGGTACCCTCTGCATTTCTGAAAAGGCCAACTTTGCAAGACCCACTTGTAGTGGGAACAGTGGAGAGCAGAAGCAGCAATCCAATGGAGATTGTCAGTCCATAACTGTTTAAAATCTATAGCCTAATAAGATTTGTCATGTGTGAAGGTGGCTATAGCAATAAATTTAATAAGTCTGATTTGTTCGGAAGGTTCACCCAATAAATTGAAACTTGATCAAAAATGGCTGCCTCACAGAAATAGAAGCACAAGATTATAAGTGGTGACCAATAAATTGGGTGTACACAGCATAAAGTGTACATTGATCTTTTGAGTGATTCTATCACGAGAAGAGATTGCTGATTAGCTAAATAAGATGTGCAGACAACATTTCTAAAATGCCTGGTGGGACACTATCTGCAAGTTTCAATTATAAAATTAAGAGGCTGATTACTTTACCTGCAGTAGATGACACTGTAATAAGAGGGAGGACTGTCACTGGGAACAGGCTGACAGATTCCATTGTAATCATTTACAATTGGTGGTGGTTCAGGGAAATAAGGTGGTGGTGGTGGAAGGACCAACACAGAATTATCTGAATGAAAATAACACACTAGTTAACAAACAGTACAGAATCCGAATTCAAACAAAACATCATCTTTCATTTATGTGTCATCTTTAATGTTCAAAAATAGATATAGAATCATAGAATGATAGACTTTTACACTACAGAAGGAGACCATTCGACCCAAAGTGTCTGTACCAGCTGCCGAAAGAGCTACCTAGCTAGTCCCATTCTTCAAGTCTATCTCCATAGTGCTCTAAATTCATCACCTTCAACTATATATCTAGCTTTCTTTTGAAATTTCATGCGGAATTCGGTTCAGCCAGCTTCTACAAGCATTTACTCCCTCCATCACTGATGCACATTGGCAGCAGTGTGTACCATTTACAAGATGCATTGCAACAACTCACCAAGGCTCCTTGAACAGCACCTTCTAAACCCACAACCTCTATCCCTTAGAAGGACAAATGCAGCAAATACACGGGAACACCACAACCCGTAATTTTACCTCCAAACTACACACAACCTGACATAGAAACATATTATCACTCTTTCACGGTCACTAAATCAAAATCATGGGAATTCCTCCCTAACAGCAATTTTGGGGGGTACCCACATCATGTGGACCACAGTAGGGTTCAAGAAATTTCAAGAAAGTGGATCACCACAACCTTCTCAACAATGGTTAGTGATGGGCAATAAATATTGGCCCACCTAGTGATGCCCGCATCCTGTGAATGGATTTCAAAAAAGTGATGTGACCAACGATATGGTGAAAGGAGAGAGATCGTGGTACTGTATAAAAGACTAACATCTTAAGAATGAAGTGTGTCACGTGGCAGGATTACACATACCCAAGAATGCAAAAGAGAAACCAGTAGGCTGAAGGAGATTGCAGAGAGAATGGAGAACCCGTTAGTAGAGGTTTGTGGCCGGCTGGTGGCATTGAGATAGGTAGCAATGGAACAGGTAGTCCCATTGAGGGGAGGTGTGGAAGAGCATTTCTTGGTTAAATTCTGGTCAGAGCTTGAGAAGATTGAAATCACTCAAGATTTTAGTCTCTACTTAAGTTAGGTCCATTTAACGCTGCATAATAAGGAGAGAGGAAATCAAACTTGACATTTACAAAAATATGGACTTAGGAAAGGAGACAGGACAACGGTTGGCAAAGACTGAAGGTCTATTGAGGGTGAAAGCTATGATAACATTGGTTGTGAAGGAGTCAAAGGTGCTGCCTGAGGAAGAAAAAACTGCTGACAATGTGAGTGAAAATGGTGGCCAAGAAGAGAGTTGTGTGAAGAGGAAATTCATAGTTCACAGAATCCCTACAGTGTGGAAACAGACCTTTCAGTCCAACAAGTCCACATCAACCCTCAGAGCATCCCACCCAGACCCATTCCCCTATAACTCATCTCTGAACACTACGGGCAATTTAGCATGGCCAATCCACCTAGCCTGCACATCTTTGGACTGTGGGAGGAAACCCAAGCAAACACAGGTAGAATGCGCAAACTCCACACAGTCACCTGAGGTGGAATTGAACCCAGGACTCTGGTGCTGTGAGGCAGCAGTGCTAACCACTGAGCCACCATGTTGCCCCATCCTGCATGGAACAGCACCAAATATTATAAATTGACGGAGCATCAGGTATGTCTCTGCAAGAAATGGTGCTTGGCAGTAAGACCGGTGAGAGGTGGAGATGATAGAGGCAATGTGAATGCATTGCTTCAGTCTTGGTGACACAGATGTCAGGCCACTCCTCATGATTTTGAAGAGTGGGGAATGATGTTACTAAACAACAGCTTGCTTGTGGAAAAATTCAAGTTTTCATAGTTCAACTTTTCATAAGGCAATGTTGAAGTTTCTTCCTATTTCCCCAGCAGCAAATGAAACAGTTAGGCAGGCTTGTTAAGAAAAGTTAATTGTTTTTATGTTAACGAGAAATCATCTGGGATTAATAAAAAGGACATATGAGACAGTCACTGAATTCTGAGGATGTTTTAAAAAGTGAAATATATCTTCCCTATAATAAAGCCTTGTATCTAGCATCTACTTCTTTCAAACAGATACTGCCTACCTTATAAATAATGCATGTGGATATCATAATGTTGTCATGTCCTTAAGCACTGTTTGAGAGATAGTAGGAACTGCAGATGCTGGAGAATCTGAGATAACAAGGTGTAGAGCTGGATGAACACAGCAGGCCAAGCAGCATCAGAGGAGCAGG